AAGGCCTCCACGACACCCCCCCCCTACCGCCAGCCTGTCCAAGGCAGCATGCCCCCCCCCCCGGGATGGGGCATTGCCGTCGCTCGTGAAGAAACCGACGCGACGCACGACCAGTGCATCTTCGTAGAATAGGCGATGCTGCCATCGCTCTCTCACACATCGCTCTCTCACACATCGCTCTCTCGCGCGTCGCTCACCCTCGAACATGTGCGCGGCTGCCTGTGGCGACTCTCGCATCGCGTCCATGAAGATGGCCGGCAGGAACTTGGCGAGGATGATTCGCACGCGCGGCCCCAGCAGCTTGTCCATCATCATCTTCGCGAAGAGCTCAGCCGCCCTCTCCCGCACGGCCGCGTTCGTAGAGTTGCAGAACAGGTCGAGCAGATAGAGCAGGCCGCCTGCGACGATGATGCGAAACGGCAGAAGATAAAAAACAGAATAAAAAAACATTATTTTTTAATTAATTTTAAAAAAAATTCTTGTATAAATTTTTATTTTGAATTTTATTAATACAGTGTAGCCCCGTTATAACACGATGGTTGGGGTGCATAAAATGTCATCGCAAAAAAAGTAGGGTCGCACTAAATCGGGGTTATATATACGTGGCTATATAAGAGCAAAAAAAGGGAGTCCAAGGACTCGTCGCGTTATATTCGAAATTCGCGTTAAATCGGGGCGCATAACATTAGGTTCCACTGTATTATAAAAAAATTCTTCATAAATAATTTTTTTTAATTCGTATAAAAATCTATCAATTTTAATTTTATCATTATTAAAAAAATTCTTCATGAATAAATTAATTAAATTGATTATTGGAAATAGCAGTGAGCACCACCTACACTTTAAACAAGCTTGTTTACCGGCAGGTTTACAGAACTCTCAGGAATTTCATTTTATTTAGAGGAAGTGGCTAAAAAGTGCCGCCACCTGATCGAATATTATTAAATTAAAATATATATATATATATATATATATATAATTGAAAATGATGTTAATAAATAATGTAAAAATAAAAACTTGTAAAAATATGAAAATAAAAAAATATTTGCACTGAACAATAAGCAATCTTAAATAACGTGGTTAGGGGGCAGAACACAGCTAGGGCAACTAGGTACAGAAGATGCAGGCATGAAAATGACCGGTAAAGAAAAACACTGAAAACCCCCGAGGCGGAGGAGGTTGGTATTGGGGGGAGGGGGGAGGGGTACCCGCTCCCACGGTAGGGAGATTTTTTAATTTTGGGGGTCAAAATCATGCAATCTGGTGCATTCTGTAATGAGATTTTTAACCTTATATTTAAAGAGAATCTGGATTAAGATAATTCCATATAGCAGAACACATACCGAAACAGGATCTGAATAAACATTTTTATCAATAACAGCAAGCAGAAAGAGGGGCATTTAAAAGAAACAAATGTGATAAAAGATGTATATAATCTGCATAGAATACATGTACGTCCACACGCAAGAACCAGCGTGCAACCCAGGGTAACACTGAAAGGTCACCTCTGGCTAGACTGGTTCGCGGCCGCACTGTTTATCGCAGAGCGTGTACATTGTCTAGCAGAGCGTGAGGCCGGATACCAGTCTACCCTTCGGTAAAAACAATAAGGTTGCTTGCTGCTAGACTGGTACCCGTTCGCCACCTTCACTCCGGCATATATCTTTCGCTACACAGACGTTAGTGTAGCGTGTGGAACTGTCGACCGGGTATCAGTCTAGCTTGCTGCCAGCCGCAGTAGCCAATCGATAAACCGTGCGCCTGCATGTACATATTATGCCCGTGGTAGATTACGAATGCTGCACGTGAACTCGGAAAAAAAACCGGAAAACTGCGGAAACAATTCTGGGATCGGGGAAAAAGCGGAAAATTTTCATGCCTGAAGATGGTGCCACCTATACTCCGACTTGCCTTCACGGATGTAACTAACAGCTGGTTGATTGACCTACCTTTCTGCACAGCTTCATTGATGATTTTAGTGTTGGAGGTGAGAGCATAGAGGGTCTCTATCACAGTGAGCTGGCACTGAGGCAAGCTGCCTATCAGTAACAGGAGGTAGACCAGTATCTCCGATGCCGCGATGTCACCCACGCACTCCTGGTTCTTCGTCACGCTCACGATGACCTGGCCGTGTTGCATGTTATTAGTTAGCATCAATATGTATGTGTCTTTGAAACACCATGTCTACAGTAAATGTGACACTTCACTACGCTCCATGATATCGGTGCATTTTTGTTAACAAACACTAACAAACTGGTTATGAGGACTACAGCTAGCATTCAACCCTTTGTAATTATACATGTAGACATGAGTAGCAATTTTATTGCACTATCTGGCAAATACAATTGGAAAACTATTTAACTGCTCATAGCATTACAGTCAAACCATCACCAAATCACAGTGGCTTGTAAGAACTAATAAATTGCATAACAATGATGTAATAGGCGATGACCCATCCTCGCAACCTTAAATCTACTAAGCAGTGCGATTACCCAAATAACGTTTAGAAGGACGTCCACAAATAACATGCAGACATTAACAATAATGTGCAGCAGATGGCGCCACCTACCTCGAGTGCAACCGTCTGCACGCGGTCGCAGCCGTTGAGACGCAGCAGAGAGAAGAGGAGCCGGAAGTGACCAATGCACTGAATTTCAACACCTACAATAAACCGTAGTAAATATCACAATAAATTCAATTATGAGAAAAGAACGCTATTGAGTAGCTTGTACGAATGGGGTTGACGTACTCATTTCTGTGGACATCTCACATGTCAACCTAGCTCTAGTACTATAGCCATTGCTCGCCACAGGCCTGTGGCGAACAAGGGCTAAAGTACTAGAGCTAATGTTAGCCATGTGTCGTGACGTTTGTGTGAAGACAAAAAATAAAATAGAGAAACAGACCCTGAGGATATAATAGCACACAGCTCGCTAGTGAAGAGACTGACCTTTCCCCGGTGTCGTATCTTTAACACCATCAGGTTAGCACAAAAAACGCAAGCCAGGTATATAAAACATTTACCATGAGCAATAGTTACATTATATAGTAGTGGATATCAGAATACGTCATTTGACTCAAGATGGCTGCCAGCCTAACGAACAGTGACATGTAGCTGTACTAACACCTGCTTTACATCTGTGAGCTACTAATGAAGAATTATAGAACGTTTACACTATCAAAGCAGCTTGATAAATACAAATACACTTAAAACAAGAAAGGATAAAGGCAAACATGCTCACGGAAGGTAGAAAGCTTGAAGTGCCGTGCATAAACATACAGCACGTCTATGAAGGGTGTATACACTTATGTAATTATTTATGTGCTATGCACCTATGAATATGATGCGTCTAGCCTCAGAAACTATACAATACGCCGCAAACAGAGCATTGTGCACGACAACCCGGAAAGCGGTTGGCTATTACGACACCGACGCACGCGATATCACACACGTGTGGTCACAATTACTTTGCATCATATATATGCTAATTACTTTGCATTACACAATTACACAATTATTTCGCATCAGATGCCAACAACCGCCGCCACCGACCTGGATTGTTCTGTATGATGTTGCACAGAGCTTCGAGCGCCATCTCCACATGGCGCAGCCGGTCCAGCTTGTTCGAGTCGGCGAGGTTTCCGCTCTTCGTCAGCTGCAGCAGGGAGTGCAGGTACTGAGCCTGAGAGCCGAGGAAGTCCAGCAGGTCGATGGTGAAGCCCTTCGCATTCTGTCGGAAAAACGACGACGTTGGTACGTAGAGAATACTGTTACTTGGATCGGCCACCATGAATACAATCCTATATACACTCTGAATGGTCAGTGGCACTATTGGTTTCATTGTGGTACTGATTCACAACTTTTTTCACAACTTTTTCATCATTGATACAATCCTTTCGCGTAAGGTAGAAAAAATGTCGGGTTAGTCTGAAATTCTATCAGAAAAAAACGTCAACCTTGGCACGGGGAATCTTGTTACTTGGATCGGCCATCATAAATACTATCCCATATACACTCTGAATGGGCAATGGCACTATTGGTTTCATTATGGCAACAGTACTAATCCACAACTTTCAGAACAATGTCTGAAATTCTGTCAGAAAAGTGTCAACATTGGCACGGAAGATCTTGTTACTTGGATCGGCCATCGTGAATACAATCTTTCACGTAAGGTAGAAATATGTCAAGTACGTTAGAAAAAAACGTCAATGTTTAGCACGGGGAACCTTGTTACTTGGATCGGCCATCGTAAATACTATCCTTTCACGTAAGGTAGAAAAACGTCAGGTACGTCAGAAAAATGTCAACGTTGGCATGGAGAATCTTGTTACTTGGACCGGCCATCATAAATACTATCCTATATACACTCTGAATGGTCAATGGCACTATTGGTTTCATTGTGGTACTGATTCACAACTATTTTAAAGGTACACTATTGCAATGTGAAGATTTATTTTTATTCAATGATTACATAACATCTCTATTCTCATAGTACAAACACTATTGACCTCTGTTGCACCATTTTGACAGCCTTGCATTGTATC